TGCTTCCCTTAATCGGCCCGACAGTACCAGATTACCTCGTACCCAGAGCGATAAGTAGACACCTCCAAGAGGAACGGTTGTATATAGGATCAAGTACACAAGTTAGGCAGTCTGACAGTACGGATTTTTCAGTACCCAGAGCTCCAGACCTTGGACATAATATTACAAGGACTGGGACTTTGTGTTGATTCCTCTACGGAAACGTGACATTATGTGTATGTATGTTGGTGCCGATTACATGCCAAATTCTGTTTTCTATCGTTGCAGACTGACTTTTGTATAGTTCCTTGTTTGATAGTTTCATCTCATAATTTTGAAAAACGCATGGATTTGGATCTTCTCTTTCTATTTTCTACATTTAGAGTCCTATATATTAAAAATCTTCTTTCCCCGAACCATACATTATGTTACATTTAATCTGTTGTGTCAAAATGCGCTCTCTGTTGGTGCTCTGTTCTATGTTACTAATGGTTGAATATGAACAAGGCGGTCCATAGTGACGTTTGACTCAACTATGAGTAGTATGCTATGTTGTGCTACAAGCAGCCTTTTGTGGTATAATCATTACAATACTATATGGTTATCTATTGGTCATTGTGGTTATCAGCCCTAGGTAGAACATGTCCTTATTAATCAATTTAAATTTTTTTTTTTTTTTTTTGCATGAACACGTTATATTTTTTTTATTTATTTATTTTTTTTTATTTGTTTTCTTACTAAAATTTAAGTTAGGATCTTGATACTTGAATGTACCATTGATCATTTAGATATTTTTCTACTGGTACTTCAAAGTATCAACTGTTATTTTGCCATATTTGTTTAACATTGGATACATAAATAGTAACTAAAATTAATTTAATAAATCTCAGCCTACTCATATGATTAAAATTGTATTTATAAAAAATGCTTAAATATTATACATATTCATTTAAATCAAGCTCTGTTTAAAATCATATTTTTAGTACTTTTACACTATCTGCATTTGGTTTTCATTAGGTATAAATAAAAAAATTTTTATTTCTGTGTATATTCAAAGAAAAATATTTCATTATAAATTAAAATTTTTACACTTTTAGAAATATACTTGTAAATATTGATATATGTTATATCATATTAGCGCTATTTAATGTTTAAATAGTGCAAAAAAACATAAATAAAAAATCTGACATCATTAATGATAATATTTGATTTCAATATTAATATTACACTATAGTTATATTTTTAACTCATTACCATATGTGCCATATATTTATATATATATAGTATTTAAAAAAAATTATGAACTTAAAATATATATTCAACTACGAAACTGATAATAATCATATTCATACAAAAAAATGTGTTAAATATTAATTAACTATAAAAAATTAATTCGTAATTAATAATCTTTATTAATATTATCATCTTATTTATAAACGCAAAAAATTATCTGTTTTGCATTACAATAAAAAAATCGTTTATTATCAGCAGGCGTACATCCAGGATATTTGTTTGACTGGGCCTCACAAATTTTTCATATTTTCCTTATATAAAAGTAAACCATTACCATTAATTTTCAAATAATCGTTAATAGTTACTATTATTACCATATAGTACATAGTAATCGCTAATATCCATAAATCTAAAAATGATTTTCAACCAAATAATCGATCGGCAATTGCCATAAACACGTAATCATCTACTATTATATTAAACTATAAATGTGTAATAATAATCAAATTTGAAAAAAAAGAATCATGAATCGTACTTATAATAATTATGTGTCACAAAACAATAAGCTATTATAGTACTTATATGTATAATCTAATGTACAATATTTTTGAAGGGGGTTTCAGTCCCAAAATCCCCCCTAAATTCACCACTATTTATCAGGATTTTGATTTCACAGCTTTTCTTAAACCAATGTAAAGATAGCTACATACTACGGTCTTATTTGTCCGTGTATGGTGTACGGTGTAGTTCAAAAATTTTTTGTTCGTACGTCGATGAACGATACACACATTACATTTTGTATCATTTTACAGTGTTCGAAAAACAGCGACCGTTTAACTCAAACATCGAAATTGATAACGCACTACAATCATTTTTCTTCAATTTTTCTATGGACGCTCTAGTTTCCGCAGTTCTGCATATCATGGCTCTTGTTTCGCGCACCGAAAATCTAACTTTAACAGCTACTATCATGGAATTGGTCCTTAAATCTAAAGGCAAAAAATAAAAAATAAAATGGACTAAATATTGGCTACTGGAAAGATCTAAAAATTATACGATATTAATTCGAATATTGAATATGGGCACTCACTTTCGGTTTTCTTTATTTCGAATACCAAACACGAACAAAAAATCAAACTCCTCAGTTTTTATTCTGTTTCCGTGTACGGTGCTTTGCATTCGTTTTATTGTCCACACACTATTTATTTATTTCTTTATTTAATGTAAATAAATCTGTGTAAATTATTCGAATTAACCTTAAAACAGTTATTATTAGCAGTTATTGGTTTGCAATCGGTTTTAAACATAATGTTATTGAAATAATAAATCACTTTTTGTATTTGTATAAGATTTAAATTATATGTAAATCTTTAAACAGCATGTTAATAAATGTTTAATAAATACAATAAATACATGTTCAATAAATTAAAATAACATGTTTATTACCAAATCTAATTCTTGGTCCAGTAGTGGATCTAAAACAATAATACAATGCACATATTTATATTTTATATTTATAACCGAAAATACAATTTAATTTGATTTAATTACACATCAAAATAAAACATAATAATACTGAATTGCATGTTACAATATATTTACTACAATATTATTTAATATATGCGTATGGTTATTTTCTGATACTTTATGTTAATATAAGCAAACTTATAGATAGATTTACTCACTCTAAATTTAACTTTAATGAAGAGTGTTAATAGGTAAAAAATCTTTAATTGTATTTTTAAATTATTTAAATTTTCCATAATATAAGACCTATTAATTTAATTTTTTTTGTCCATTTTTAATTAATCCATTAGAACTATATTATAATTTCCAATCCGTTAAATTTATACAATATCCTTGACAGTTTCCACTCAAACGACCCTCCAAAATTATTGTCATCGATGACTTTTATTTTGTTAATCCACGTGTTATAATCTTACAAATTTGAGATTCTTTTATCGCCACTCTGCTCTAGTGTTGCCGACGGATTTATTAGTTTTTTCGCCGTAGTTACCAGCAGTAGTTGAAAAACGAGCTTTCAGGATATCAATTTTAACCCAGAATCATTATCGTTGGCTTACATGGCTTGAGGGGGGTGTAGATATCATTATACAGGAATTCGCCGCAAAACAACGGGTTAATTTTGTTTCGTATGGTAATGAGAGCAAAAAGGATCGATACGTAAAAGGACCATTGCCAGAGGTAGAGGGTGGGTCGCTGTATGTCAATGTGGAAAAAGTCTATCTCTTTTTCTTTCTCTTATAGGCAGTAATTATCCAAATGTTTAATTAAAATACTCAAGACATTTTTAATTTATTAATTTATATAAAATATCACTTCCGTGTATATTCTTACTTATTTTATTCTAAAATCAGCACCCAGCTAATGTATAATAGTAAAAAATGCATTTCATCATTACTATCTAAATTTTAATATATTTTTTTATATATATATATATAATATAAATTATTCAAATTTCTGTCCTTTGTTTTCCGTATAAACTATACAAATCAATTATATTACAAGCTGTTGTTACTACGCTCTTTTAAACTATATTTTTTATGTATATGTAAAAAAAAACTACACCCTTTAGAAAAATGTCTAACTACAATGTAACGACAAACCATAGCTATTGACAAAATTTTACCAGTTATTATTGAAAAATTACAGTAACATAAATGTTTTAATAAATAATCTTAGGCATTCAAATATACTTGACAGTAAATCTTTGAGTAAAAATAAAAAATTTTAATTACAAATACAAGAAACAGTATATTCTAAAAAATCAATTTTTACATAAATTTAAAAGTTTTTTCGACATTTAAATTGTATTACTATAAAAAATTATAGAAATTTTAACCATTTAACCGTTTATAATGACATGCATTTTTCCAGCAAAATATTAACTATCAGTCGAATATAAAAATATTTATGCTTTAAACACTAAATCAAATATTTTTGAAGTTTTAACACTAAAATAAAATTTTAAAATTTTAATAAAAATCGTGTGATTCATATATAATTTAACTTGTTTAAATTACACTCTTCATTTTAAACACATTTTAAGAATTAACTATAGGATGAATTATTATTTTAGAATTTGTTCTTTAAATTTGTACCTAACTTAAAACTAACGCACATAATGATCGTCTAATATAAAAGTTCAAAGTTTTTATTAGATAAATTGATCATGCTCATAAAAACAGTATATGAAAACACTACTGTCATGTACGAACATGTGCAAGTGTAAATATTTCACAATGGTATTTCGTTTCTCTCAAATATTGTTTTATCGCAAACATCGTCTTATACAAAACCCCTATGAAAATTACGATTCCTTTTTACCTACAGAAATATTTAACGAGTCTTCGTTTAAATGTTGATTTTGGTATAAACGGGTAATCCAGTATATTTAAAAATCTGAAAACTACATATTTTACAACTACAATAACAACAATCGAAATGGAAAAATTTATCATTTTTAATAGTATACATATAATTATCATAGGATTCATTTAATTTTTTTGGTTTCTTACAACAATTTGAAAAATGAAAGTTGCGTAAATTTATATTGTATTTCATACAATTTATCACAAATACATACACACACACACACAATTATACTTCAATAAAACTTTATCTAACAATTATCTGAACATACTTTTTACTGATACGTGCTGCCTTTTTTGAACATATATTTTTTTTTTTTATAAATTTTTTTTAATCAAACCGAGAAAACCAAAATATAAATACACGTAATTACTTGTATACCGTTATGTTTACAGGACAATTCAATCGAGCGTCACAACGCATATTCATTACACCCGCAGTAGCGGCGCCGGATACCACTAACAAAGGAAAGACTAATCATGCGACAACACAGGTAAATACTGACCAAAGTGTAAATTATTAGTTTTGACAACACTGACCTTTAGTAGCTACCCTGAAACGATTTCAGTAGATTAGTTTCGAACTCGTCGAGTGTCTTTATCCTTCACAATCCCACTTTGTCCTCACAGCAAAACTCTGATTCGCCATCACCACGTCAAGTCACACACAATCGTTTGTTTCACAATACTTACGTATCAACCACTATGTGTCATTGGTATACAATTTATTAGCTAGGTGATCAATATGACAGTAGTGACTGAGTGAAACGATGGAAAAAACTTTTTTACGCGTCCTGGAGAAAATGATTAAATGGTCTTGCAATCGTTCGTTTGGTCTAAACAAACGAAATAAACATTACGATCGTTTTCATTCATATGTATTTATTAGAATATATTATGTGTATAAATAATATAAAATGAGGCCATCTAGTTTGTGTGTTATATTGATTTTTTATGTGAGACCAAAAAGTCCAATCGTGATACTAACTAACGTTGAATTATTTTTCCTTCTTCTCAATTATAAAAATTACTTTTATCAATACTTTACTTGATATATTTTTAAATATGTCCAAAAAATAACTTACTATTCATAATCATAGTATACGATATACATACGATTGTATATTTTATACAGAAAATAATAACTTAAATGTACCCAAACAAATACTCACTCCAACAACTATAATATACATAATATACTTAAGATATTTATTTCAAAAATAAAATAATATCTTAAACCTAAGTATTCAAAGAGTCCCATTTTCACCGTTCATCAATCCTAATAGTAACTTATAAACATGGTAAACAAACATTTTTAAATACTAGCAAGATTATAAATTTAAAAATCAAAACTACCTAATTGAAAAAATATATTCACACAGATGAAATAATTTATAGTCTCTTAATTATTAATATTTGTACACGAATATTGAGTGGTTTTTCTTCAATTTGTATACCAATTTTATAGATATTTTTATTTACGTTTACTTTTACCTATTTTAAATATTAATAAATCTCAAGAAAAAATTAAGTACATAATTCAACATTTTTTAACTGTTTATTTTAAATGTAATACTAAAAATAGTTAATTTAATATACTTTTCAATCGTTTGTCAAAAACTATAAAATTTAGCTAAAAGGACATTTTTCTGAACCATTTTGAATTTAAACAAAAACATTGTTTTTACTAATTACAATAATACTATAAATATAGATTTTAGATTTTTAAATTAATAAATTAATAAAAAGTTATTTTTGTTCATGTATCATTGAGAATGAAAATTCAATATACACATTGTACGAGTGTACTATTATATTATCATATTATTAAACTTATTCATTAAGATTAAATAATAATTTATGCAATTAGCGTGAGAAAATAATTTTTATTAAGTATAATACGAGTTTTCTCAGTGGGGCCCAGTATTTCACTGTATGAAACCAAAATTAAATAAAAAAAAATAAATAAAAAAATAAGAAATTGACTACTAAAGAAAATTTACTTTTAATTTAAAGTAATGATAAAAATTGAAAACCTACTAAAAAAAATTATCGAAACTTTTAAGATATTTAACATATATATAGCAAAAGTAATTTTATAAATTAAAATTTTTTTTATGATTTATTTTAAAATATGAAAGTAATTTTAAATGCAAAGAAATATTTTATCATAAATTCTCAATATTTCAATAAAACACATTTATAGTACACTTTAAGTATCAAAAAAATATAAAAATCCTTAACCCTACAGCATTGTTTTTCAACCCACGATGGTATGAACATATTATTGGGAAAATGCAAGGAGTCATCATGGAGTAAATAAATTATTGCAATTAACAAAAAAAAGAAATTATCATCATTGTATATATATATTATAGTTTATTTACAAAATAAAAAAAAAAAATAAAGGTTAAATATCATATTTTTAAATTTATAAAAATCTACAAAGGGAAGCTACAATAAAAAAGCTGATTAGAAACCACTGTCTTATTTATGATAGTATATCCATTCATGTATACAATATATTTTTCAAGTCTATATTAAAAGTTGTAAATAGTTTTCATAATAATTTAAAACTTAAAATATCATTCTAGAAACACTTTATAGTAACCAAAGTAATATTTAAAATCATTTTTCACATGCCATAATTTATCGTTGCTTTCAAATATATTATAATGATAATACTAAGATACAGAAATTTGCTTAAGAAGTGAAGATAAATTTTATTAGTATTTAACATTCAGTCTCTGTATCCTATACCCTCGTTCATTATTATGATGAAATGTATTGAAAATGATTAATTATTCTTGTTCTAAAACTATTATTTGTGTCCTTCAAATTTTTCCTAGTTAACTTGAGTCATGAAATATTTCAAGAAATCCTTTAACACAGTTCTAATTAAATAAAGTCTGTATTTTAAATTCAATTTTACAATTTTACATGCATAAAATCAATGAACATTTATTTATTTTTCATGAACCATACTATAGTTTTTTTAGGTTGTCTGAATTTTTTTTTCTTAAAATCTTAACAGAAATCATTTTGAACTCTCTAAATTCCAATAATAATACGCATTAGGTAATTTTGTTTTTCGAAATAATCTATACAACAGAATGAAAATGCAAAATAAGTCCATACAGTAATAGACAAGACACTTGATATGAATGGAGAAAGCCATACATTGGTAATGCATCAAAGAGATAAGTCATATGTACTTACGTTTATATTAACATATTTACCAAAATCGTATAAATTATACATTAATAACTATAGTAAAACAATTTTAAAAAGAACATTTTACAGTAAAATATGAGTATTTAGGTTTCAAATTTAAACCATTTTTGTTATTTAAAACTTGAATCAGTCTAGGTTAGGTTAGATTGAACTTGGACGTTTAGATAAGGTATAGACAATAAAATGTTAAATTTGAAATAAATTTAAATTATAAAATAACACATTATAAAAAATAACCATAATATAGTATGAATTATGATACAAAGTTTATTTACGTCGTATACTATACTATGTATATAATAGAAAATAAAAATTATATATATAAATTATATTATATAGCGACACGTGTATATTAACATAATTATATGCACAACTTTCAAAAATACTTTTCAAGGTACATATCACTAGTCCAAGCAATAAATTATTTTTTGTAAAGATTGTTTTAAAATTAAATGTTAGAATAATTTAAATTTATTATCATATGCATATAAGACTTTTATCTATATAATTTCGTTTGCAAAACTTCCACTGATACAAAATTTAAAATATTATTGAAAATATAAATAAATATGTACAAATATTTTTCTATTAATTCTTAGAAATATCAAGTATAATTAATAAGTAATTATTATACTAATATTAAATGTGCATTTTAAAATTGAAGCAAAAAATTTATTTTTATAGACTTGTTATTTTTAATAAAATTTGTTTATAATCCGATTTTATACGATTAAAAATTATGTTCACGGATTTATGGATATTATCGTTATTTTATTAATTATACTTCCCGTTTTTTCTATCTTATTTTCCACTCATCACACGTATAAGGCATTTAAAGTTATTATTTAAATGCATTTTTAAAAATATAAAATGTTACTATGGCAAAAAATCTCGTAACATTTTAAATATGAGATATTTTAAACTATTCAAATGATTGTCTTCATGTGTATCTACTTATTGTTTAATTTATTTTATTATAATTCTGTCCGATTTTCTATCATTTCAAATTATGCTCATGGTTTTATAAGTAGATACTTATGATTCTTTGTAAGTCATGTTTTTTAGTAAGTAGAACGTTTTATTTTATATTTTAGTTTCCAAATTTAATAAAAAATACTTTCTTAATGAAAATAAAACATGTCAGTATAACATACTAGATATATTTCTTCTTGTATAATAATGAGTTTTACAACTAACAATTTTGAATTCGAATAATTCATCTGTATAATAATAACTAGACTTAGGGACTTATAGATCTAAAAAATACATAAATATGCATGCAAATATGCTTCTAAAATCATTAAAATATGCATTTATATGCATTAAAAAAAAAAAAAAATGACCACATAGTACACAAAATAAAACGTGTCCATCGGATGTAAATGTATCTTTAAACTCCAAAACAAAAATTTTTAGTAGGCTACTCGTAGACTGTTGTATTTTCGGCATTTCACAATGTTACAAAATATATGCATATGACGTTTTAAGTATGATTCGACGTAGTGTGGTTGCGAGACGCAAAAATAACGACGGATAATAATCGACTGAACTGAACACTAAATAAATAATCTATTATTCTATATCAACAATAGTTGATATAGAATAATAATAATAATAGATAATAATCTTTATCGATATCCGGTCGATATCCAGATACCATCGATACGGGTTTATAGTATTATTTATACTTACACACAAATTATAACGAGATATGTGAGGTAGTTTGCAGATAACATATTACTGGAAATATTAAGTACTAATTATTAAGTACATTTTTTTTTTCGATCGTTTGAAATATGTATGTATAGTTATATGTATCTATAGTTTTTAATTTTAAATTTAAAAAAATTGTCAAAATATGCAAAATAAGCATAACAATTTTAAAATATGCACTCTCCTGCAAAATCTATCAAATATGCAAAAATATGCATATTAAAATTTTATATCTGATATGGCATCGAGAAACGAATTTATTTCGCACTCTGCTATATTTAACAATAATTAAAAAAAGTATGCAAATGCTAGAAGTCCCTAAGCCTGGTTATAACTATTAAATGTAATAGTAGATTTAAAAAGAGCATAAGATTTTGGTACAAATTAATAATTTTTCCGATGGATCGAAATGTATCAAATAAATCGCCTTATGTCTATGTAGTTATATGTTATTTTATTTAATATATTCAATCCAGGCTTCTATGTATATATACATTTATATGTTACATCATGCATGTCATAGTAAAATATGTAAAATATACTGCATTCTGCGTCGACGTTAACTTATTATATCATAAATATCAAAGCCCAACACTACCTAGAATTCTGGGTATAAGAGGTTAACGTATTTACCAACGTTTCGGCGTTGCATTGAAATTAAACCACGTAAAATGTGACTAGATCCCAGAATGGGCGACTACTACCCAGAACACTTAACAACGTGATATAACCTATAATATTTTATATTCTTCCTTTCCTATTACATGATCTCACTAGTGCATTAACATATATCTTTTGGTAACGATAATAATAAACAAATTCATCAGTTTGATCCATCCGTGAATAGCATGTTTGAGCAACGTAAACTATAAAATATTTTAGTATACATGTTATTTTGCTTTATCAAACACAAAAGTCTGTGCCATCGTTCCATTATTTTACTCAGAAACTCTTTGATAATATGTTGTGGTAATTAATTTATGTACACATACGCTTGTAACAGATCACCAACTGTTCGTAATGTTTTTGAATGCAAAATATTTTGTCAATATTATTCTATATGAATCTCTGTTTTTTTGTCTCTATGTGGTTTTTCATCTTTTTAACTCTGTATTTATATTATTTCCAAACACCGAGACGTTTGAAAAAATGTGTCATTACATCATATTATTAGCGTTATCCGACGTTCAATAAATAAAATCACTGATTAACTGATCACTGATCAAATTAACACTTCGTACTTTTTAGTTTATGAAAAACCTCAATTCAGGGCTGGCGTTACATTTTGCGAGGCCCTGGGCAAAACTTATTTTACCCACAACAATAGTCACCTGTAGCCTGTAGGCCGCAATTAAAGGCAATAACATGTAATATGTGCAATATCGGATAATGACTGATTAAATTTAAGATATAGATCCATAAAAAAACATTTCCCATGTATCCTGGATTCCATACCATGCGGCGTGCCATATAGGTCGTCGTTTGTGACATATTAAATATAATATTGTTGTTTTGTTAATTGTTTTTTTATTACACGCCAACGGATTTCTCTAGAAATTGCACTCGCCAGGCGATCCACACATTTCACGCTTTATTTTATGAGATTTTCGTACAAAATATTTTTAAATGAAAATTTTAAGCGTGAGGCCCTGGACAAATGCCCTGTTTTGCCTCCCTCTAACGCCGTCCTTGTCTCAATTTTATGTAATCTTTTCAATATTTATATTAATTTCAAATTTAAATTTTCGTTCAATTAAATTCAATCATTCAATGATATATTTTAAATTTTTACATCATTAATTATTTTATAATTAAATTGTGCTATATGCAATAATGTCATGTTACCTATACGAACTAATTATTGATATTGTAATTAAAAAAAACCAATAGGTGAAAGAGCGAAAAATACATTTTTTATTGAACATTTTTTTACGTACCTCAATTATATTTTTGTAAATATTTCCATTAAAGATGGTATAATCGAGATTTCAGAGTAAATATAGGATTCGTTTATTTTTTTCGTTTATCTAAATATACTATAATTATCTACTCTTATTTTATACACTATATTAAAATTTATAATCTAAATTTAAAATATATGTACGGATACCTTAACAATTTATTAAAGTACCTATTTTTTGTACTATTGGACATGAATGCCAAAAAATCCCTTTTAAAATTTCGTACTTTAGTCAAATATCTTAACAAAATTAAGAAACATTAAATTATTTTTGTATATAATATTATATTTAAAAAAAATAAATATTTTTTAAAAATAAAATCCGAAACAATTGTCAAATAATTATTTTTATTTGTAGCAACACATATACCAAATTCTGGTCATGATTATAGTAACGTTACTATATGTCATATTTATTTTTAAAAATACCATGAGTGATAGTAAGACAAATTGTTCAAAATGTTTCATTATTTGATGATACAAGTTGAATTGTCATAAAACAATATTTTTATTTTTATTGTATGTTGAAACGATAAAAACTTTATCTATATTTCTCATTAGCTTTTTTAATTCATGAACATTGTTTTATTTTCACTTGAAAATTGTATTATTCCGTTTTTTAAATTTAAATAATATAGGATATTAATAACATAAAAAACCTCTTTTAATAACACATGAATGACGTTCAATGATTTATATAAAATAATATTTCCCTACTTCTAGCCCCAACCAATATAGTACTTTATCTAATTATAAACTATGCATTTAATTTAAGTAAAAACCTATTTAGCTATTTTTTTTTTTATAATTTTCTCAATACTTGTCATCAATATTTATAAACTCTTTATCATTTACCCATTAAAAATGGTTGAATAATTTTATGTCTTTCTATTACAGCTATTTTAGCTAGGTATTTATTTAAATTTTTTTACTTGATCAATGTATATGTAATGTGTAAATTTACATGTTTATTATGGTATTTTATCTCTAATAAAAATATATTTCAGATAAACTTTCACACATTCCAAAATGATAAACTAAAATAAAAACGTACTAAATATTATGCACTTTATTTATCGTAATAAAAAATATGGTGTATTTATGTATTTACCATATTATAAGCTAATTTTCAATAATTTATTGATAAAATATAATGGTTGTCATTTATGGTTTTCAATACAAATAATGATTAATTTAAATCGTGTTTATATGTACCTAAATTACATCTAAGCAACATTTTGATTCAGGGTGTTGACATACAATTTATTGCTTATTATTATTTTTTTAACATTATAAACTAATTAATAAACTAAAATTAATCTGAAAATATTTACTTTTCAGGCAAACATAAACTCAGAGTCAATGGAGTCGGAAGAGAGTAAAAAACAAGGGCCTAAAACTCGGAGCCAGCAATTCTATTCAAAACAAGATATTGTGGAACAGTACTGCCTGAGCGATAAGCAATTACAAGTGTTAAACAGGGTCAGACAACCACCAGCATTGTTCGGATGTATATCCAGTCACAGAGTAAACACAATAATTATTACAACTTTTAAACGGATTGCTTTATGTAAACTCCTATAATTAAATTCAATTTATTTAAAAAAATGAATGCTACACTTAAATATTGTACCGATTATTAAACACAGTTAAATGTTTATTACTAAGTTTTGGGAAGTCAAATAAAACGTATGTCCCTCAATGGCCCCTAAATGCTTATAAAATGACATTGTTACCAATGTATCTCAGAACTAACATAAATTATATGCATAACGCAGAAATATATCCAGGAAAGAATATATTACCTTCTACATTTATCCGCATCTGACCATAATTCGAATTTTTTTTTTTTGATTAAAATGTAAATAAAATACCCTTAATTTGATAGGTAGCTAAAAATAAAAGGTTTTTATCTTAAATGTATGAAAAATATTATATTTAAAATGATTTATTATTGTAAAAGGTTCTGATCTAGAGTTGAGAGGATAACATTTTTTGCAACTACCACGACTCCCTGTCCCTAAAACCAGTGCTGTGAACAATCTTAATTTCTAGAGATCATTTTACTGGTCAATATTTTTTTATTTATTTTTTTTTTTTTTAGGAATCTTATTGTGGTCCTCGGAACTCGCCAAACCTACTGACCGCGTGCGTTCGTCGTCGAATACCCAGCGACGAGAACCTACACGACCTTTACAAGCGACTTCCGGCAGACTGTGCCCCGTATCCACGATGGTCTCGGTACCATCACTGCCATCCTGACGTGTTCCCTGTACATCACTGCCATCAATTGAACGTGGCTGAAGCACCATTGCCAACATGTCAACGTTCCCCGGCCGCCAGACGACATAAATGTTGGCCTCCCGAAGAAGAGGAATATCCACACAGAACGTGTCATTCTGCGTGCCATGGACGAGCTACTGGATGCGATTATCCTGAATTTCACCACTGTGCACCTCATTACTTACCTCCGCCTCCTCCACCACCGCCATCTACATCCAGAATGAGACACGTTAGTTTTGCCAGGTCACACACGGTAACGTCATTTGACAATGTCTCTTTAAAATCAGCTAATAGCAGCAAATC